AGTAGACTTGTTTGAGTAAATTATGTAAAAGCCCATACCTGCAAAATATAATGTAAATTAATGTCAGATTAAAAATCTCATTCCTCTTCTTTGTCATGTCCCTTCAAGATATTGATGATCACACCTCTCCATAGCTTCCTACCTCATGTTCTTCTTAGCAACATTTCTCTCCCATTCTGCCATCCATTCACACAGGCTTGTCAGGTAGATAACCCCCACTGCCTTCCCCTATCTCTTTTGCCCTTGATATGACCTGTGAGGGTCTCCAAACAGTCCTTTCTCATTTGTGTTCAAGATACTTCGGCTGCCTCTACTTGATTTTGAGTTTAAGAGGTTCTTTTTGCAAACAATTTTTTTAGGATTTCCTTTTTACTTAGTTGCTTTGTCCATGCAATTCTCAGCATCCTTCTGTAGGACCAAATTTATACTGCCTCCAGTTTTATTGTCATTTGTACGATATAGTGGTTTACAATAATTAAAGAGGATATTGTTTATATGTCTGTGAATAGTGTAGAATCTTTGCAATGTTTTTGCAGTGTGTAAAGATCACCATCAACAATACACCTTGATTTGAACAGAAAGGTGATAGCTATCCGTAGTTCTATTGTAATTCCTTTTCACATTGTCAGCAAATATTTAAGAAGTAATCCCAGTTGTCAGAATAATTCATTTTTTTGCCTGAATTTCTGGGATGAGGAGTTATCATTATTCCAGAGCTCCCTAACAAAACAAAAAAAAAAAACAGTTTATTATTTACACTATTTCTATTGTACTTATCTTTGTTGATATGTTTCAGCCTCTGTTCCCTCTTCAGGGCAACCTACAGGGAATTCTGAACTGAATAATTTAATCCATGGTCGACCCAACAATTGAACTCACAAGTACTATGTAATCAAATTCACAAAGCAACACTATTACCCACAAGCCATTGTCTTGTGGAACAATTTGCTGTTGTGGACGAAGAGTGTAAACTTTAATACTTGACAAATTTCAATAAAAAAATGCTTGATTGCAGTTACAAAAAGATTCAGGAAATTATTTAATAAAATTTATTAATATCACAGTGCCATAGTTAAAAGCTAAAACAAAAAAAAAAATCTGTGCCCAAAAAAAAAAAAAAAAAAAAAATATACAATTATAAAAAAAAAAAAAAACAACAATAATTATATATATATATATATATATATATATATATATTATATATATATATATATATTTATATCACTTTTTTTTTTTGTTCTTTCTCAGAGCAGTTAACCCTACCTGCTGCCAAAAATATTATTGTTTTTGGTTATAGCAAAGCATATTGGCCAAAAGGTTTGATTGCTTATTACATAGAAAATTTACTTAATAAACTGAGCAAACATTTTGGACAACCCAAGATTTTGCAAATGTCTTTCCAAGGGAGAAAGAAATGAAAGCTTTCTAAGATTTCCTAACATAATAATCAAATTGTGACCTCCATCATTCCAACAAAAATATCATAACCCTGGAAGAATTAGGCAAATAAATGACAAAATGGAAAAATTCTGTTCAACACATATTGTCCTGAAGAAGGACTTTGTTGGACTAAAGTAAAATTTTTGTTCATGGAATTATGTTTTCAGGAAAAGGAGGGGAAGATATAAATTGTACATAATTATAACAGACACTTATCTTTGTGTATTTTTTTTTGTCTTGCATTATTTACATTACTTGGACTGTTATCCTCATCTTAATTGCAATATCACAACATATTGGCTGTTGTACGCTCTTGCCTTCTTCAGGTGATTGGTATTTCAAACCAAACTCTTTATTTCATTCACCGATAAAAATGTTGGTTATATCCAGTGATTATACCCAAAGAGTTATGAGTGCAATACCAAGCCACAGCAGTGGTGAACCAAAAAACTTGGAGAGTTCAATTAAAGGGAAATAACCGAGATATCTGGAAGAGGCATGGCAGGCGGAACTAGAACAATCTACACCGGTGGGTGAAATAAGGGTTTGGTTCAAAATTCCAATTACCTAAGTTAAGTACTTACATTTTTATATCTCCATCCTACCTACACATAAATAATTCCATCAATAAAAAAAAATATGACAAAACACATTATATAGAATTTCTCGACATTGTTATTCATTTTCCTAACATTGTTCTGATATATAGAAAGTTATAGATCATATTCTCTTATCTTGAAAGACTTATAATATTTAGTCACGAGAAAGTTTGCCACAGGATTTTAATCTGAACCAGACAGCAATAATATAATAAACAGCATTAAAATATGTTAAACCAATTTCTATGTGGGGTACTGTAAAATTTTTGGCCCATTTAAAATAAAAAAATAAATAAAAAATCTGGTCATATTTTTTAATTTGGTAACTTTTCAGCACTCACCTTCCATATTTGAAAAAGAGAATATGTGGAATGGTGTTTATGCAGCCATAATTATCTCCCTTGATGGCAAGAAGAATATTGTAGTCATTACTGAGCTCACATGCCAGAATTTACTTTGCACAGTGTCCTTCAGAGAAGTCCAGTGTTGAGGTGACCTGAGAGATGACCTTCTGGCCGAGTGGAGAGATCTGCAATTCACCCACAGCTGCTCTGACATGTTGACACTTGTATATGCTGCAAAGAACTGAGTGACAGATGGATATATAAGCACCCACCCTAGGGAGAAGAAACACTCCTAAAGCACATGCAAGGGTGTCCATGTTTGGATGAGGGGTCAAACAAAATTTGATATTATATATGAGAGATTGGGTCATGTGTTTTTATTAGTTAGGGCAACAACAATATTACAATATTAAAAAATACTAATGTTAAAAAAAAAAAAATTAACATTTACTGGGGAAGAGCATTTTAATTTTTAAGAATACTCTAAAAGATTAATTTATGTTCATTTTTTTCAGTAATGATTTTTTTTCTATAAATGTCTATTTAAACCCCTTATAGATATAAAAGCTTAGCCACATGTTCTAGTATCAAAAGCATATGATGCAAATTATGTTTAAAATTGTGGTGGCATAATGGTTATTAGAGTAGAAAATGGAATCAATGTACTAAATTTAAATTCAAATTGTTTTGTTTACTAACCACTGACTTGAAAAAGGCATGAAACCATTTTTCCACAGCTATAGGTTAAATAGCAGAGCTGACTGGGTTTTCTTGCTTAGTTTAAGTAAAACTCTTGAATTCAAATCCCTGTAAATAATAGAGCAGACTAGGATCTCTAGCCTTGATAGGTCAACACACTAGAAGGAAAACTGAATTCAAAAACTAGTCTGAAGAGGTACGGGCTTACCCGAGACATGCCCCAGGACCTATGGCTGCAGTATCTGTGGTGGACCAACAACCCTAATCGATTACAGGGTTGTGGTTAAAGTTCAAAATCCATGTAGCTGAATTTTCCTTTTGAATTTTTATGCATTTCTCTCATTGCTAGAAAGCGTAAAAATTAAATTTTATGATAGATAATAAAGATGATAATGAAAATTTCATAGCTTATATCCAACTATCCAAACGGAAATTGTATACCTGCTACGTCAATCTCACCGAAGCATAATAAATAGAGACTTCCTCTTCTCATCCATTAGAAACAAACTTCCAAACACCAGATCTACTGAACACAACAATTGAATACAGGGACTTTATTGGTTTACAAAATCTTTCACGTCTGGCAAGAAGGCCAATATGGAAACATATCAAACCACATCAATAGTATGACAAGGAGGAAATGAAAACCTGAATGACTATACCCTGTGCATTTACAAGCACAGATGTGAAGAGATAGGCACTGATCATTTAATCATTTCATCCCAAATGTTAACTGCAAGGAAAAAACAAAATCACTGTTTACCCTGTAGGGGTCAGTGTATTAATGGTGAAGTGGGCTATACTGATGACACAGGCATTCATAGTTGTGGTCAGAATGGTCTCGTGAAGAGATGAGCACTGATCATTTATGCATGCCATACCACATCCCAAACAATTCTCGCAATAGAAGACAATGATGCTGCTTTTCCTCAGGCAGATGGACTGATGATGAAAGGAGATAAGCCGATGATGTAGGTATTGATATTTAGAATAAAAATGATCTTAAACAGAAAATAAACATCCTCTATAAAGTATTCCAAGAAATAGGGCTAAAGATTAATCTTTTCTAAACAGAAACTTCTAATCTGGAATTGGATTCAGAGTATGTGTGATCACTGCTTTCATTCCATCTTAAAAATTCAGGAATTAGCAAATACTAAACATCTCAAATAACTTGGTGCATGGATCAGTTCTAATATATATAGTATAGGAGTAAAGGAAATTGAACAGAGAATAGGCTGTGCCAGATGTAGTTTCACACAATACCGCAAATTGCTGCAAAACCAAAACGTTAACCAGAAAGCACAAGTTGTGTTCTTAAATAGCATCATCTGATAGTCTTCCATATAGATGCCATGCATGGTATCCAACATGTTCAGAAATATCTAAACTGTCAGCCGTATACAACCTCTTTCTCAGATCAATTGTTAAAAAATGGCTTTGAGAAAGTAAAGCCTGTTGGGGTTGGCAAAAGCCATCCTTCTTCAAACATTGTGACTTGGCGCTACAGAATCACAACTAAAAAAACTTTCAATAACAAAAATGGACGGCATGTGTAACTCAAAGAGGAAATAATGACATAACAAAGATGTTGACGACACTACTTCAGCTAAAAGGTTATGAAGGAAACTCCCATCAATACTGGAAAGATATGTAAATACTGAACTTAAGAAACCAGTTTTCCTCCAAAAAAAAGTGTTTTAAGGGAAAGATTTTATAAATTTAAATTGAAAGCAGTACGAGCTGCACAGTCAATGAATGCCAAATGATTCCTTGTAAGGAAACGGCTAATATTACCATTACCATATAGCCCCAAAAATAGATAAATGAAATGGTCCCAATTTCTAAAACATAAAAACAAAAAACGAGTTGTATCCCCACAAAGCCCACTGATTAAATAGCAGACCCCACTAAAGTCTTATTTCAGTAAGCTTTGACTTGCAAGGAGAGCTTTGTCAATTTCTTTTCCTTCAAGGATTTTGCAAGTTTGAAGAGCATATAAGAGTTGTTGTCGGGCGTTTCCACAGAATTTGTTGCTGAGAAAGGCAGGTAGACCTCGGATTCCATCACCCATTGTGTACAGGGGTGGCTGGATGATTCCACACGTCTGCAATACATAAAAAAAAAACTATTAGGTAACAAGCATTGTCTAAAAAAAAAAAAAAAAAAATTATTTAAAATGTATTATAATATTCAAAATAAATTTAAATATTTTCTTTGAAATTTTAATTATAGTTTTAATTGTATGAAATTAGTACAAACTTAGTCATAAAAAAAGAAAAAAAAACAAACTATTTTCATATCCTTCAAGCAGATTTAAATATTTGTTGTATATTTGTTAATAAATTCCTTGGTTAAGTTACGGGGATTATCAATAGAAAATTTTGGTTGTCTTTAAAAATCTTAAAAAAAAATGAAGACCCCCGAAAAATTAAATTTTACAAAGGTTAAATTAATAACCAGCTTTAAAAAAAAAAAATTGTTTTTTTCTTAAAACAGTGAAAAATGATATTGGTTTACAAATAGGGGTCTGCTTACTGTAAACTAAGTCAGAATTAGACACACCAAAATTAAGTACAAAATTTAAATATTGACAAAGTGTTTTAACAGGATGAAAAATACAACATTGAAATAATCCAAAGGCACATTGGAATAGTGAAAGGTGTCTTTCAAAAGCTAAGCAAAATATTAAGTATCTGTCTACATTTCTGAGAGGAGGTATTGTAATTATTTACATTGTTTAGACTGCTGTCCTCATCTTCGTTACCATATTCACAATGTTACGGCTGTTGTATGCAGTGGCCTTCTTCAGGATCTGTTTATATTTCTAAGATGAGCTATTGTAATTATTTACATTGTTCATGCTGTAGTCCACATTTTCGATGCCATATTCATGATGTTTCGACTGATGTATGCTTTGGCCTTCTTCAGGTGATTGGAAACATGGCCCAGTGGATAATTGGTTGAATCCAGTGACTTGACACAAAAACTTGTGAGTTCAATACCTGGTTACAACTGAGGTGAACAAAAAGAGTTAAAGAAAGATAACTGATACTGAGACATCTGGAAGAGGCATGGCACGTGGAACTAGAACAATCTACCCTGGTGGACGAAATTATAATCATCTGAAGAAGGCTGGAGTGTTCAATGGCTGAAATGTCATGAATATGGCAACAAAGATGAGGACAATAGTCTGGACAATGTAAATAATATAAAAGTATTAAGTAACAGAAAAATTTCATAATAAACAAAGGAAAGATTACCATTTTATTTTTTATGTTTTGAAGCTGAAACATATTTTGGATTGTAAGAATAATTCTTTTTGATTTTGTAAGTGAATCTTGTATCAATAACTGTTTTGATAATAATGGTTTTTTTCCAGGTATAATTCCTACTGTTTAACCTATAGCTGAGGGGGAAATAAAATCATAACTACCCTAAGGGTATTTGCCCGTAAGGGAATGTAACTAGCCCAACTGGAATTGAAACTGTGCTCTCTGATTTCTCATTCCAAACTATTATCCATTACACCACCTGCACATACAGGATTTAAATATGAAGCTGACCTGTGTCTCACCTTTTCGCTCTCGCGTTAATTGGACCTGTATCTTGCCTTTTTGCTCTTGTGTTAACTGGACCCGTGACTAGCCTTTTCACTCTCGTGTTAACTGGAGCCGTGTCTAGATTTTTGACGCAAATGTAAAACCAGAACTATGTGTAAGCTGGATAATTGAACCCATGACTGCTTTAAAGTGTGCCTATATCTATCTTTCTGGCTAGTGGAAACATGACAATTGTTTATTCAATATTAAATAAGCGAACAAAGTTTGAAATATTGTTAAGTTAACCAACCCAACTTTGATAAAGTTTTCTTTTATTAAACTTTCTGTGAAAGCTCAATAAATGTTTGGTTTGGTTGTTTTTGTTTAGCGGCATATCAACCTGAATGGGTTATTTAATGTCAAAATCTAAATTTGAAAATTCAAACTTTATAATTACTTCAAAGGAATGACATTATTTCATAATTAAATTATAATTACTCAGCTGCCTTTTTGTTATCAAATAATCATACTAAATCAATCAAGGAATGAAAACTTGTTTCTCCTGACAAGAAAGGAGATTATTCATAGCAAATTGTTTTTTTTTTGACAACGTATGCCATGTCTTCAGTTTTACTATAAAATGTATTACTGGTCATTTTTCTATAAAAGAGTATTTTTATACTGTTCTAGAGTTTCGATTTTAGCTGTGGGTTAATTAGTAATCATTAAGCCATTATCTCAAAAATAAAATCTTGCAATCTAAAAATATTTTCTGGCTTTAAATAGGGGCGAAAGGTTGATTAGCTGTAAAAAAATCGAATCAATGATGTCTATGGAGCACTGAAATTGAGAAGGTCTACAAAAGAAAATGTATCTTCCAACAGGAATCAAGCATGTATTCCCCGTTTTTCATCAAGGACACCACATTCAAACAATGAGTGTTTTACCAATTAGGCTACAGAAACTTATCACAGTAAAGCAAAGCTAAATTTTCCTATTTAAGAATTGTCTATCTCTCACTTGGACATTCTGAAGTTTTCTTCAGATTTGGTTTGGTTAATGGCATATCAACTCCTTATGGGTCATTTAATCCTGAAATTTAAATTTCTTGGGAGCTTTGGTAAATTTGCTTTAAAAAAATGTATTGCTGGTAATATTTCTCTTCCTTTTCCAAGAATGCATTGCTGGTATTTTTACTGCAAAAATCTATTTTTATACTTTCATAATGTTTTGACCCAGTTCTGGAGTCCCTGATTTGCTCATAGCTGAGACCCTAACATGTGCTACCACCCCAAGTCAGTGTGGAACTGTGAACAATGACAATTAAGAGGTGGTTCCACACTCCTTGAAACCTCCAATCTCCTGATCCTTACTGTTGGATGTAGCTTATTGTTATACTCAGGATGAGATAATTTAGAGTTGAATGCTTAATTGATAAATATTAGACTACAAATTATTTGTTTGATAGCATTATGTCAAACGAAAACAAGAGGTTCCCATGACACATGCCCCACTAATCACACCCTAGATACATCTCTTTATCTACCTACATTGAAAACTAGCAATCAAGGCCTTGGTCTATTCTGCAGACCTGAAAGCTCATTAAAAGTATAACTAATTCATAAAACCATCTTATAACAGAAAGTTTAGTAAATCTTACTTATTATAAAACGCAGATTGTGTGTGTGTGTCTGTACGTTTATATATTGGATTTCCTACATTTTTCAACCGATTTCAACAAAACTTGACAGGACTACGTAAAATTACCTTGCGGTGGTTCTGACATCGCCAAAAATTGGAAAAACACAATTGTTTTTGCACAAAATCAATTTGAAAACATGATTAAGAGGCATTAATGAAAGGGGGACACCTCATATCAAGTTATACTTATTAATATCGAGTTATACTTATTATAAAACCCAGGTTGGTTGTTTGTGTGTGTGTGTGTGTATGTGTTCGTTTATATATGGGATCGGATTTCCTACATTTTTCAACTGATTTCAACAAAACTTCACTTTTTTTTTTTTTGGCAGGTAGTGTTTCTTATTGTCTTGCACACTTTTTTCTTTATTTTTACATTCAGAATGCTTTAAAAATTCCATTTACAAGACAATTGTTTATAATGAAATTTTATTCAATCGGTAGACTCATAACGATTGAAAACAATGTTTTTGTTTGAGTTTGGGTTTGACCAATTCGTAAAAAAAAAAAAACTAATTAAGATGTTTATGTCCATCAACCTTAAACAATAATCTTTGTCAATTTTATTTTTCAGTCTTTATGATGGTCAATACTTGATCTATCTTTTACTGTTAGGTCTCCGGGCAACACTGAGCTCTACTGCTAGTTTAGTATAAAAGCGTTTGGTTTGGTTTGGTTTGTTTTATGGCATATCAACCATAATGGGTTATTTAATGCTGACAAAATTTCTATTGTTGGTAATATTTTTTTCAAAAACCTATTTCTGGTAATATTTTTTGTCTTCAAAAATCTATTTCTGGTAATAATTTTCCTCCAAATATGTATTGCTGGTTATTTTTTTTTTTTAGAAAATGTATTGCTGGCAATAATTTTTTACAAAGTATTTCGGGTATTAAGATCTGTTTTTACACTTTCATAGTGTTTTGACCCCAGTTTGGGGGTTAACTATTTGCTCATAGCTGGGACCCTAACAGATGCTACCACCCCGGGTCAGGGTGGACCTGAGAACACCAGCAATTAAGAGGTGGTTCCATGCTCCTTAAAACCTTCTGATCAGAGACCTTGCTGTTGGACATAGTTTATTGTTTTACCCGGGATGCAGACGTGGTTTATTGTCTTACCCAGGACGTGAATGTGGTTTATCGGCTTACCCGAGATGCCGATGTAGTTTTTTGGCTTACCCAGGATGCCAAAAGTGTTTGGATGTTTTTTTATGTAACACATAGGCTTTAATTAAGCATGGTTGCTTTCGTTTTACAGTTGTTTACACTGTGAAATAAAAGTTATTTGTTGCTTTGCAGTGAAGATTCAGAATTGATAAACTTACCTCTACACCATAATCCTCAGCTTCCATGACACCCTTTTCAATTGCTTGGAATTCCTTGGGACTAACCTCTTTGGTAAAAAAGTGAAGTACCAAATTTTTGGGCTTATGATAATGTGAAATCAAATGATCAGATGCTTTTATTTGGCATTTGTCATTGCTGATCCCAGCTTCTTCCAAAAGTTCACGATTAACAGCTTCAATAGGACCTTCCCCATTATCAACCAAACCTCCTGGAAAGCCTATCACACCATCAAAACGAAGCTGCATCTGAAAGTGCAAAATAAATTTTTTTTAAATTATCAGTTCCACAATCAGAATTGGGTTCCTTCATTGCTGGAGCACCTGAAATGACTTGTCAGCAGTGTTAGTTGCTCAGCATGAGGACTATGAACATTATTCATAATAGAATTTTTGAAATAAGAAATTATTTTTGTATATGACATATAGCTAGCTGCTCATATCCGAGTAAGACTGTCTGATAAGGAAGCTCGCTAATCTCTGTTGCAGAATAACCGACATCCCGCTTCAGGCTGGTTTTGAATTCAGGCTTGTGTTCCTCCTAGACTGATTGCAACTCAAGACTAGAGAACTCAGTCTACCCTGTTATTTAACCATTAACGGTGGGGAGGGGGGAGTAGAGATGGCTCATGATCATTTGTGCAAAACTGAATGCAAAAGACTTGCCTGAAATCTGAACTCGGTTTGCCAATTCCCTTTTGCCATCTGTAACACAAACTCATTTAAGTAGCAAATAAAATGAAACAACTTGTTTCATCAAGTTTTTTTTATCATTTTAATACAGTATTTTTATTTACGTTTCATTTTTTTGTAATTATTTCTTATCTAATTAATAACAGAAAGTACCATCATTACGGATATATCACATTGACGAAGTTAAGTAATGTCGAACCTAGACGGATGGTTGCTTGGGAATACCAGGTGCTGTAAACTGAGACATGCGGGTGGTATGATGGATAATGGTTCAGAATTGTTAATCTTTGTGTTGGATTTGTTATAATCACTTACATGCAGATTACCCTTGGGAAAGGGTATGAATCCACCTATTCTCTCCCTAGCTATGGGTTAATTATTAAGACTTGTACCACTAAATCATTATCTCAAAAAAAAAAAAAAAAAAAATCACAATCTAAAAATATTTTCTGGCTTTAAATAACCTGCAAAGGGTTGATAAACTGTAAAAAATGAATCCATCAATCAGAATGTACTAATTTCTTTTTATTGCTTTTGTCTTTGCCTCTCTAACATGTCCTACAAACAGAACAAAATTAAGTTGTCTGAGAAATTTGTGTATAAACAACATTTACAGTAAGATCTATTTTTTTAAAGTTCACTAGATTGACTTGGATTTTCTTCTATGGACATAGCTGCATATAAATTGATGAGATTGATTTATTTTTTATGGCTTATCAACTTTTTGCAGGCTATTCTAAAACTAGAAAAATTTCAGGCTGTAAGATTCTTTGGGGAGATAACTATCTATTGGTACAAGTCCTACTAATTAACCCATAGCTGGGGGTAGAAGTGGATTCATACCTTTCTCAAGGGTATTTGGATATAAGTGAATATAATGAACCTTACTGGAGTTGGAACTTTGTTGCATCACTACATCATTATTATCTTAAAAAAAAAAAATCTAAAAATATATTCTGGCCATAAATAATCTGCAAAGGGTTGATAAGCCATAAAAAATGAATGAATCAATCAGAATGTACTAATTTCTTGTTACTGGTTTTGTCTTTGTCTCTTTAGTATTCCTAAATAATTTGGTAGTTTTCAGAAAATCTAATTAAAAAGATTTATTTGATTTAGTTAAATAATTCCCTAAAATTCTTTTTGGTTCCTATTGGACTAATGTGTAATGTGAAATAGCAGATAACAAGAATGCTTACTATGAATGCTCTAAGTTTTCTAATTTACCACTGAATTTTGAAAAGGTAGATATAAATTATTTCTATAGAAAAATAACAAATTTAAAAATAGGGCTTTATTAATGGAAATACTGCTGATATATGAATAATTTTAAAATTTGTATTCAAAATAGATCAGAGAAAAAATATTAAAAATATGCTTATTAATTGTTATGGTATTTAAATGTTACCACTTATTTAGTAAACTTCATTTCTTAGTTTATATATATATATATATATATATATATATATATATATATATATATATATATATATATATATATATATGTTTTGTTGAAAATGACTGACAAGGTGAGGTGGTTGAGTTTCTTTTATATAAGTTCTCATGTGGTCATATAATTTTTCTTTTCAGGACATAAAATTGTTCGAATATTTTCCAAGTGCTTTTGGATATATTTTTAGCCTTTATCAAGGATGAAATTTAGTTTACTTTTAATTGAATATATTTTATGTATGTATCTAGAATCATAGGAATGTTTTATTTATTTTTATATGATTTATGTCTTGAAATGAAAAAATTATATGAACACATGCAAAATTATATAAAAAACGCAACCATTACCTGCACCTTATCAGTCATTTTTGATGAAATTGCTGCCCAAATATATATATATATATATATACATAAGACTGATAGCAATTTCTTTGTATGTTAGTGCTACAGACCGAGCTGTTTTGCTATACAGATATAAGATGGTAGACATAGACAAAATTCAGCATTATGTGAATTTATATAAGATTTTAAAAATTTGTTTTATAATCACAGACTAATAATGATTGAAAGACTTCTGTTTAGTTGTTTCATCTTCTATGAGCTGTTTTCCTTCAGGGTATAGCTTATGCCCACATCATGTTGAAACACTGATTCCCATACAATCCCCAAAGTCATGACACAGGAGCCTGGTCAGTACCTAGATGGGTGACTGCTTGGAATACCAGATACTGTAAGCTAGGATATGCAGGTTGTATAATGGATAATGGCTCGGAAATGAAAATCAGAGAGTTGTGTTACAATTCCAATTGGGTTCATTATATTCGGTTATGTGCATTTTTTTTTTTTTTTTTTTTTAACATACAACGTGTGTTAGCACGTGTGATACCCTGTCTTCATCAGCCGCCGACCAGGGGTGATCTCACGGTTTCGGTGGCTATGGCGGGACCGCCACCTCTAGCACCACCAGCAGCGTTTGCCACCAGGCAGGGTATGAAGATAAGCTAACTAATTGTTCCTTTAAGTAAAATCTATATGCAATGAAAGTTTCTTGAACGCGTTTGCTGTTATTGACGCGCTCGTAAAAGTCGTTATAGACGACCACGCAAATATCTCACTTGCGCATATTAGGTCATTGATGTTGCGCGCATTCTATTTGCTTGTTTTGATCTCGACCAAATCCAACTTGAATTAAGAATTAAGAAGTGCTTCTATGCTCCTCAAAATCTCCTGATCAGAGGCCTTGCTGTCAGATATAGTTTATCGTCTTACCCAGGACACATATGTGCCTGTGTGTGTATATATATATATATATATATATATATATATATATATATATATATATATATATATATATATATAAAGTAAGACAGAGATGCTTTAATGAATAATATTATTTAAAATTAAGTCTTATTTGTTATTCTTGACATATTAAGAAGTTTAAATGTCTTCCCAATGATTTCATTGTTCCTGACTTATTATAATATGTCCTCTCTAAGTCAGCAACAGTTGAGTGATATAATTTCTAGTCTGACTACTGATGAAGTATGTGTGTTACAAAGACATATATATATATATCTAAACTAAATCTCAGGGAGTGAAAAGAAAAACTACTTTCATGGAAAGATTTAAAAGATAATCGATACAAAGTTTATTAATAGAATGTTAAACAGGTTCCTTGTGCATATTAATTTATAACCAGAAACTGGCATAGCATGTTGTATTAGTCTACTGTAACTAGAGTAATGTTACTAAAAAGCCTCGTCAGATTGAAACCTTCGTATGGATGTCATGCATGGCAGGCTCCAAACTCATTCAGAAATATTTAAGCTGTCAGTAGTATATAACCACTTTCTCAGATCAATGGTTAAAAATGGCTTTGAGCAAATTAAATTTGAATGTCTTAATGAGAACCACTCTTTTTTGATTGTTTTTTTTATGGCTTATCAATGCTTTGTCGGTTATTTATAGCCAAAATATATTTCCAGTTGTAGGAGGTTGTTTACGGTATGTGCTGTTCTCAAGCAGTCCCTGACCCAAGTACTGACTAGGCTCAACAATGCTTAACTTCAATGATCAAACAAGAACTGGTATTTCCAGCATGATGTAACTGTAAGCCCATCCTTCCTTGAATATTATTGACTGGCATACGAGAACCACAAAACTTGTATAAAACAACAGAAACCGCATCACTTGAAAACTTTCAACAGCAGCAACAACTAAAATGGATTGCACAGGTAACTCCAAGAGATAATGATGACATAATTAAGAGGCTGACATTCTGCATTACCTCAAAGAAAATGTTAGGAACAAAACCTCTGTCAATACTGGAAAGAGCACTAACAGCTACTGAACTTGAGAAAAATATTTTTCTGAAAAAAATAAAGTTTTAAAAGGAAGATTTTTATTACTTTATATGGGGATATTTTTAGGGGATATTCATATTTGAGTAGATGCGCCATTCATTTTAGACAGTATTTTTTTTTTCACACAAATATGGGTATCCACTAAAAATAAAGTGATAAAAATATATCGGATTAATAAATAAAAATCTATTATTTCTTTAGAAAGATTTTATAAATTTCAACTGAAAGTAACATTGGCTGCACTGGCAATGAATACTGAATTTTTCCTTATAAGGAAACAACTAATACTGAACATTACCATTATTCCTTTGTGAGTATGTTTGAAGGATAACTCAAAAACAGTCTGACAGATTTAGACATGGGATTTTCAACTCCACCCACCTTAGGCTGAATCAGTATTTGTGCTCTAGAAAAGAATATTTTAACCTTTCAGTAAAAAGACAAAAATGAATAGCTATTCTGTAAAATCCAATATAACTTCATACTTAGTAACAAAAAGAAAGAGTTGAAATTTCTAATAATGAAAGAAGGTTTGGAATATTTAACCCTCATAGAATGACGGCAACGATAGAAGAAAGTAGTGAATAACACACCTAATCATACTTATTATAAAACCCAGGTTGTGTGTGTGTGTTCATTTATATATGGGATCGGATTTCCTACATTTTCCAACTGATTTCAACAAAACTTCACAGGACTACGTAAAATTACCTTGCGGTGGTTCAGACAGTGCCAAAAATTGTAAAAACAATTGCTTTTGAACAAAATCAATTTGAAAACACGGTTAAGAGTCATCGCTTTTTCGAGAATGAAAGGGAGACAACTCATATCGAGTTATACTTTTATTATAAAACCCAGGTTGTTTGTGTGTGTGTGTTCCTTTATATATGGGATCGGTTTCCTACATTTTCAACTGATTTCAACAAAACTTCACATTTTTTGGCAGGTAGTGTTTCTTATTGCCTTGCACACTTTTTTTTTATTTTTACACATTCAGAATGCTTTAAAAATTCCATTTACAAGACAATTGTTTATAATAAAATTCTATTCAATCGGTAGACTCATAACGATTGAAAACAATGTTTTTGTTTGAGTTTTACCAAATTGTAAAAAAAAAAAAAACAAAAAAAAAACTAATTAAGACATGCATGTCTGTCAACCTTAAACAATAATCTTTGTCAATTTTATTTTTCAGTCTTTATGATGGTTGATACTTGATCTATCTCTTACTGTTACATCCCCGGGCAATGCCGGGCTCTACTGCTAGTAAGCTTATGTAAATGATGGCAGAACAAGGATAGAAAAAGGACAAACCTTACTAAGAGCTACAAAGAACAGGAAGTTGTGGAGAGCCATGACTGATATGGCACGTAGAAGACACAGTCTTATGATCTTTTCTTAGTAATGTTACCATAACAATAGAATACTCTTTGTGCCAAATATAGCGGGTGGTGGGACTAATAATTGGGGTGGGGGGGATTGGAATGTTTCTCAATATGCAATAAATAGGGGGGAGTCTTAAGAACGGGATTTAGAAAATCATTTAGAGGAAGGTGGGGGGGCTGTAAAACGTTTTCTTAAAAAGATAATAATGTTCCTACTTGTCTATTAGGCATCTAAGAGTAAGGAAATTGTGGAGGGCCATGAAACATAGGAGAAGGATAAGCAAATATCTCATTAGTAAATAAGGGAGATCAAGTTGATAATAATTTGCTTTTTTTTTTTTTTTTTTTTTTTTAAATTTTGTTCCATATTAGCTTTCTTTGGATATTTTTACATTTAATCTTTAACATTCTGGAGGTGATTTTGTTTACATAGCAAAAATTTTATCCTGCCATTGCAAATGATTTTGATGAATGCTTGAATTTTGCAATTGTGTTGTCATATCCTGCTATGGCAACATAAAATGACCATGACTGAAATCAAGTAGTGCAGTAGAGAAACCTTGAAAAGCAATGCAGTGGAAAGGAAAGTAGTGAATAATGCAGAGTTTTAAAGGTTAATGATTTAAAAAGCAAAAATCTTTGTTACAAGAAATAACAAATTGTGTAAATAAAACCCTGAATTACTCATGCAGAAAATATAACCAATTTTTTTTAATTGCCATGTTCAATCAGGACATGGATGATCATGGCCCTCCACACATTCCTTTTTTATTATCTATAAACAACCATTCTTAGGAAAGATTGTGGAGTGGTTTCCAGTTGCCTTCTCCGCAATTTGGAATTTCCTTTCTCTTAGACTTGTGGCAACTCAAGGCAAGAGAGCCCAGTTTACTCAGTTATTTAACCCATAGCTGAGGAGAGAAGAGAATTGGTTGAGTTATTTTTTACAGCTTATCAACTAATTGAAGGTTATTTCAAGCCAGAAAATATTTTTAGAGAATGTAAAAATTTTTCTGGGAGATAATGATAAAAAAACCTACTAATTAACACGTAGCTTTTCTGGAATTTAAACTACTCATCAGTCCCACTTTCAATGCTGATAATCATTACACTAGCCTAACATCCAATAAAACCTTTACAAAATTTGCAGCTATTTGGATATGTGACTTTATAAATTTTGGACAGTTCAATTTATTTTTATTACAGACATTGAATTTGTGGCACAACCTGTGTGTTTATACACCTAAAAAATATGGTGCTTGCCTCTGTGTGTGTGTCTATATATATATATATATATATGTTTTTGATTTTGTCAACTGCACAGTATAGTAAGGTCAGCTGGGCACCATCTGTGAGAAAAAGAGCACCATGACACAATTCACGCCGCCAGAAATTTGGAAACAGCATGGTATACTGTTTGGCATTCATGCCAAAAGCTCCAATATTTCAGAGTCTTTAAGTGTCAATCTGAGGACAGTGCAGCGGATTCAGAAAGAGTTGGATGAGCCTAATGGTGATTATAAAAAGCACAGCAGCTTGGAAAACACTTTGACTATTCTGATCAGAAGAGAACTCCCAAATTTGTTGGTGAGGGCTCTGGGTCAAGAGGGTGGCTGCTGGTAGACTCTATGTCTCGCAACAGGACTCTGCACCATGCCACACAAGCAGGAGAACCCAGTCATGGCTGTCAGACAATTTCAGTGACCACATCACTTCTCACATCTGGCCACCTAATTTCCTATACTGCATCCCACTTGTGTGGCACAGTTGAGCAAGAGACCAACAAAACTCCTTGTAACACCAAAGATAAACTGAAGGCAAGGATTATGGCAGCCTTCACCAACTTAAACAAGGAGACTATCCAGAAGAGTTGCAGGAGATTCTGAAGTTGTCTGAAGGCAGTAGTTAAAGCCAATGGCAATTTCATTGAATAAATTTACTCTTTAGTATTTAAAGATATTTTTGCTAAATGTATCTGTTAAAATGAGATGTCTGTGTTATTTTCATTTTTGTGTAATTTAGGCAAGAAGTTACCCATTGCACCCTGTATATAGACCCAAATTCAAACAGATCTGACAGACCAGTGTTTGATGTCAACACTGACGTGATGTGAGAGAAACGCTAGACACAGACAGCCAACACCAAATGTTCATTTCATTTCTAATTTCAACAGTCTTTCACTCTTGCCTTAGCAACAGAGTGAAGTTACCAGTCTTTGTATCTATGTAAATAAATTATACTTTTACTTGCTCCTAATCAATGTCCTCTTTTGTCTGTCACTTGGTATTTATGTTTGAGGCGGAGAAGGAATTAATCTCTACAACAAGGTTCTGTTTTGCAGGTTACCCATTTCCACAAAATATGTTTAGGTTTTATTACAATTCTAATCATTTCTTTTTAAAACAATAATTATTGCTGAGGGGTGAAGGTAGTTAAAGTAATAGCAGTGTCAAGGGAAAAACAGTCCTTTTGACACACCTTTTTTGTGGGCACGTTTGCTGAGATTTGATTCTATGTTAAAATAAATCTTATCTCATACTGTCTGTTATAATCGCATACAGTAAATCGTCTTGGCTTAAGATTTCAATTTCTTAATCCACATTATGAAAGAATATATATAATCTGTATCAGAAGCCTTTTTTTTTTAAAGTACAATGGATAATCAACATTGAGTCCAAGTATGTTTCATAGTTTGTTTTTAAAAAAATCATTTCACCCCAATCAAGGTAATAAAGCCACTAAGACACAAGGAGTTACTGAGAGTGAGAGAATAGGAGAAAAAAAGCCCAAAAAACAATATTAAGGAGAGTGTTATATTCCGTGCTAATAGGAATATATACTTGAAAAACAAGGTGGATAAAATAAGTAAAGGTTTATTGTAAAAAATCAGTACAATAAGAATAAAGGTAACAGTTATGCACAAGGTAGTCGCAAGTCAATCCAGTAGTGAGTGCTACTATTGGAAGGTCGGTAGTTCTTGTGTAAGTGAATCGTACTCAACAGATTCTAGCTAGACTGTAGTCCGTTGTATATATACACATACACATATGTGTATGTACACACATTCACACACTTTGAACCCCAAATTGTTTTCACATTCATTCAACGCACTTATCGTTGTCACTTGTAACCCTTTATTGTTAATATGTTATCATTTGTTTGTACATATATATTAGTTCTTGTTGTTTCTTTACATTTCTTTATATGGACTCATATCCCAAGTCTACCATGTGGGCATTGCAGGAGACGTTTGTTTATCTCTCAATGAATACACTGGCCTGCAACAAACAAAGGGAGTTATGTCTTCTTGATTTAGTTAAAGACAAATGAGTTGATAGGCAGTTGAAGTTGTCTTTTTAAAAA